GTCTACAACACGTCTTTCGTTGAAGCTTTGTACGTAAGGCCATCCTTTCTTGCAAAAAACAATGCGAATTTTTTCCCTTGCTGCTGATACCTCAAAAGCTTTGGATCAGTTCACTCAGCTCTTAAAACCACCACTTTTTAGACTCACTAAACTGTCTAAACTCGATCACCGAACGTATTACCCGCCATGTTACCCGCCATGTTTGATGTTTGAGCTGACTGGTTACCAGTTTCCCACAAAGTAACTCCAGTCGTCACGTGCACCTTTCGAACCAATAGAAAAGCGAAAAATGAAGTTCCGTTGGATCAGTTCAAATTCACGCGGACTCAACAACAGCATATATTTTGCACCCAAATCGGCGTTATTTTAAAGGTGGATTGTTCATTTTTTTTTGTCCACATGAAGCGTGCTTCCAATTAAGTTGGAGAACAATAAGTCAGCTGGATTGTGGATGGTAAAGGCATGTTCCTGCTGATTTTGTTTTCGTTGTTACATGGGTCATCTGATGGTAACTTTCGACACTCACTAAGGTATGAAGCTGGAGATTTTAGTTAAATCTTACCGATGTGAGCAGGAAACTTTAAGGAGTGATGCAATGAAATACCATTTATTGGTCCCGTTTTGTTTACTGCAGAAATAATTGTAGTCTTTGTTGCAAATGGTCGATGGAATCCTACAAATTGAATACTGATAATATTCTGGCAGACACCGACTTGTCAGAGTTGTCAAGACTTTGAATGAATGTTTAAAGACGAAGTGATTTATTAAATATCTTGAAACGCCATGTCTACTACAAGTACAAGCATTTTAGCTTTTAGTTCATTTATTTCCAATCAAGAACTGAAGTAAACGAGCGGTTTTTCACACAACCATAATGCTAGGATTTTGGTAACCTCTGTTCATAACTTTTAACTTTTTGAGGAAAAGTAAGAAATAAGCCTCGAATATATCTTCTTCTCTACACCATCAGTTAAGAAGGAGTGAACAACCTATTCTTTGAACTCAAAAATGAACATTTTTTAAGCCAACAATATTTACAATAATACAAAGAGAAAAATAAGGCCTATAGACTATAGGCCTTATATAATAGTTATATAATAGTTATTATATAGTAACAGCACTTAAGGTAATTTTAATACATTGCTGCTTACAAAATATTAGAGTGATTTCACTTAACAATTAATGTCAAATAGTTACAAGTGCACAAAAGAATATCTTTAATCTTTAATCACAGTTCGTAACCATACATAACTGATACAAATGAACTAATACTAACATATACAATCGAACAAAAATACAAAAATGGTTAACAGGACGGTAGTAGGGGGAAACCAAATTCCCACGCTAAGACATACCTTCCCAAAAAAGAAAAAAGAAAAAAAAAAATTAATTAATTAATATATAAACATATATTAAAAGACTATAAATTAGACTATAAATTATAAACCTAGATGCCTAATAATAATGCATAAACTTATATTAAAGACACTATGCCTAATATTTTAAGGTAAATTATGAGCGAAGGTACTTAATCAGTGAAACTTTAAAAGACTGAAGGCTAGGAGATGACATTACTTCAGAAGGCAATGAGTTCCAATCATTAATATGTCTATGAAAAAATGAATATTTAAAATAATTTGTACGGGCAACTTTAGGCCTTATTTTATACTCATGCTTACTTCTAGTTCGAGTTATTCCAATAATATCAAAGTAATCATGGCAATTGATACCACAGTAACCAAATATAATCTTATACATTTGAACTAGGCTAATATATTTCCGTCTCAGTTCTAAAGAGTCCCATTTTAACTCTAAAAGTCTTTCAGGATATTCTTTGTCGGGGCCACATATTAGTCGGGACGCTCTTCTCTGAATTGCTTCGATTGCCTTGGTGTGTTTCACGAGATAAGGATTCCAGACTGGGCAGGCGTACTCGAGGATAGGTATCACTAGCGCCTTGAAAGCTGTCTTGATACCAGTCTTGTTTGAATAACCAAATGTCCTTTTAATCAAGCCCAACACCTTGTTAGCTTTAGCACAAATTCTTCGTTTTCACGTGACATCACAACTAATTATGCAATGGCCCGTGCACCGGAAGTCGGCCATGCTGGTGGACATTCAGCCGGTCGCGTGGTATCAAAACAAAGGCCATTAGGTCAATTACTTCGCGCTTTGTGTTTTAAGTACCGTATCAATGGGCTATATTTGTGCTGTAAAGAATTGTGGACACAATACTGCTAGAGATAAGGGTAAATACAGATTTTTCAGGTTTCCAGCGATAATAGTAAACCAAGGCGAAGAAATTCGCGAATTGAGCGAACGGCGAAGAAGGCAGTGGTTTGCAAATATTTACAGGAAGGAATTCGACGATAAGAAGGCTGAAAACTCTCGAGTTTGTAGCAGTCACTTTATTTCTGGTAAGTAAATAATATGTAGAATAATCTCTTTTCGTACAAAAATCCTGCCAACGGACCAAATGATAGCTGAACTAACCATCGCCTCGTGCACATTTTGGCGCGTATGGTTCTGTAATCTTTGCATAGCTGCATGGATTTTGAGATCACCTAGTCATTTCTAAATAACTTTCTGAAATAATAACCTTACCTTAAGATTTTCTCTGTGTTTACAATGCTATTTGAAAAAGAAAGATTAGGTTGCATAGACTATTTTATTTACTTACTTGCAGGAGAGCGTGCAGAGCTCTTGGACACCACCAACCCTGACTGGGCACCTACTGTGAATCTTGGTCATGACAAAATTAAACAAAGTGTTTCCCAGCTAGCAGTTTCCCGAAATGCTCGTGCTCAAAAGAGGAATGAAAACAAACGGAAATACGATGAGATGGCTTCTTCCTCTACATCTAGAAAAAGTGGTGAGATGGAGGTTGTTCAAGAAAAAGAATATGTTGAGCCTGAAACATCTAGTAAGTGTACATTATCACTTTTTGGGCCCTAAAATGTCAAGTACTCTCCACAACGGTATTTCAAGTAAATGGAGATTACCGGTAAATAATGTTGATGCTAAAATCTTGCTCTCCCGCCTTCACTCTTTTTTGTAGAAATTATCACTTACATATCAAGTCATTTAAAATGATAAACTTCATAATCCTGTTTTTGGCATTGTTTGCATGCCTTCTTCAAGCCTACCACTAAGTTACATGAGTCATTCAGTTAACATACGTTTCATGTATATATTTTTCATTGCAGTGAGTGTGAGCAATTTCACTGAAGCCTCATGTTCACTAGATGAAAGCATTAATCTTGCTGATAACAGTAATGATGACAATGACAACCACAACAAATGTTGCCAGACTGAAAATGTTGTTTTAGCAGAGGAGTACTGCCAGACTGATCTTGACATGGCTCAACTGGACAGACAGCAGATCTACATGCAAGATATCACTGATGAGCTCAGCAGCACAAAAGGGTAACTGCTATCGGTTCAGCTAACTGAGGATAGCTTCAGAGATAATGATGATAAAACTAAGTTTTACACTGGAATCCCCAAATTTAGTCTTTTAATGCATGTCCTTAATCTTATTGCTCCCCACATTAAAAGAAACACCCAAAATGCACTTAGTCAGTTTCAGGAATTCCTGTTAGTTTTAATCAGATTAAAACTTAATTCCCCATTGCAGGATTTAGCTTATCGATTTAATATATCTGTGCCAACTGCACACAGAATATTTGACAGGTGGATACATGTAATGTCTGTTAGACTTAAATTCTTAATTCAGTGGCCAGAGCATGAGGAACTGCAAGCCACCATGCCTGTGGTTTTCCAACGCAACTTTGGCAAAAAAGTTGCAGTCATTATTGACTGCTTTGAGATATTTACAGAAAGACCATCTAGCCTAATTGCTAGGGCAATGACATGGTCTAACTATAACCATCACAATACTGTTAAGTTTCTCATAGGTGTAACACCACAAGGTGTTATCTCATTTATATCAAAGGCATGGGGTGGGAGAGTCAGTGACAAATATCTTACTGAAAATTCTGGTTTGTTGAGGAAACTTTTACCTGGGGACATAGTGCTCGCTGATAGGGGCTTTGATATAGCTGACAGTGTGGGTTTTTATCAAGCTCGCCTTCATATACCGGCATTTACCAGAGGTAAAAAACAGCTGTCTGCAGAGGAAGTAGAGGAGACAAGGAAAATTGCTAACGTAAGAATCCATGTAGAAAGAGTCATTGGTCTTGTACGCAGAAAGTACACTATATTACAAGGAATACTCCCTATTCAGCTAGTGACAGCTCGGCAAGGAGATGATTTGGCTCCAATAGACAAAATTGCAATAGTTTGTTGTGCCCTTACTAATCTATCAGAGTCCATTGTACCTTTTGATTAAATATTTTAGACCTTTCCTAGCATAAACATTTCCTGCACAAGGTGGTTTGGAACAAATACATGCCAAAAATTTAGAATTACACTTAACTTGTGTTTCATTCCCCTCACATGTACAGAAGATTATTTAACATTAAAGCTGTGGTATCTGTTGGCAATAGCCCTCTTATTGTCTTTATATTTTTGTGTAAATTTTTAGTTGAAATAACTAAAGGTTTTTTTACAATTTTAAACAGAACAGTTATTAAAGGCTTAGCACTGTTCGGATAATAAAATGTTATTTTACTTTATTATATAGACGCGAGTGTTTTACTGGAAAATATTCCACTCATAAAACTCATAAAAACTACATCCGGGACCCCGAGTGGTTTATTTTCCATAATCTCACATGTGAGTTTATCGATGACGTAATTTCGGTCATTTTTCCAGCGCATGGAAACTCTACTAAATCGGGATGTATTTACTTATAAGCTGAGCTAAAGTAAAGAAACAATATGCAATCGTTGGTTATTAACTTTCACGAATGTGGTGGCTCCTAAAGGAGCCGTTTGTTAAATTTAATGTGTTTTCACAGAAGTCTTCGACGTCATCAGTGTTCATCATTATCTTCGCTGTCTATGTCGAATTCTTCTTCCATCTCCTCATCATCAATTTTACACACAGGAGGGGCAAAACCATTCACCATCAGGCTCTGTTGTAAGTCCCACACATGACATGTGAAACCACTGGATTTTGCAGGCAGCCTTCTCACACCCAATTAGTTGGCTGTCCTCAATGTGCTGTTGGCAGAAGCACCAGGGTCCATCTTCATCGCTGTCTGTTGATGGTGATTCAGTGAGATGAGGCTGAGCACTAGAACGTGTGTACCATTGCCCTAAAATCTCTGGGAGAACTCCTTTCTTGTAGAAGAGTATTGCCCTTGTCAACACTCTGTCCCAAAACTCAGTGTCAGGCAACACTCGCTGAACAAACATGTCCTTTGTAGTCCAGACAACAAAATCACAGTACTCCACTCCGGTTACAAACAATTGGCACTGTACTTGGTAGTAATAAGGATGAACAGTGTCCAAGCACAAATCAACCCCATTGTCATCATATTTCAGACAGAAACTGCTGTCTGCTGCAGCAGTAACCAGCATGGCATCCTTGTACTTGTAAGGACATTTAATTTCACAGAGTCCTTTTCCGCAGCACTCACAAAAAACAAGACCATCAGGTGAAGCACCTAAAAAGGGCCAGTTCTCGTTTATGTGTAGCTCACTGTCCGCTACAGACAAATTGAGGTGCTGATCTGCAATTGAAAGCTCGTATGCTTCTCGTGCTTTGCTCTCATTTGATATGCCCCATTTTGTTGCTGCATTTGAGAAGCGATGAGCACCAGGGTAACAAATCATCTTAATCAGGCTTTTTGATGGCTTGTCGGGATTGGTTGAGCAAGCAGCTTTAAACTTTGAAGCAGTCACTCGCCCCGCTCTTTGCTCAAACCACACTTTGCTGTCTGCCTGGTCTCTTGTTGCTTCCTCAACAGTTTCTGCTTCTTTGACACTTATCTTAAGCTCATTAAAAGCTGTTTCAAACTTTTGCTGTAACTCCTGCAAGGTGTCTCCCAGATTCTCTTCATTGAACAGCTCTGTTAATGGCTTTGGCATTGTTTTGTTCTCAACAGGTACAAAAGTAGCATTATAAGGTGCAACAATGGATAGAATGGCCGGTTTGATCCCACAGTTTGAAATTCTTTCGAAAAAGTTGGCCTCTTCTTCTGCTGTGGTTGCTTGGACATTTCTCCTCTCGCTGGGGTCTGGGGTAGCAGATCCCTGTTCACCCAAAGTACTATGCCGTTTCTTGGCAGAGGAAAGATCCATTTCACAGACAGGAATGTATGGAATTTCCTTCACATACGAAGGCATTATCCACCTGCTTTTTTCCTGCGTACATGTAACAGACTCTCGCATTCTAACGCCAGCTTCTATGGCAAAAAGAAGGGCCCCAACGTGTGAGCAGGCCTCGCAAAGTCCTGCCATGCAGTTACAGTGCGCCATGCACACGTTTCCATCCTTTTCAGCAAGGAGCCATGTCTTCAGAGGCGTCTCTCTCGCTCGTTGTGAGTGATTTACTCTCGCTGTAACAACTACTTTGTCGGTTCCAGCCACTGGTTTGGTAAAAATTGTATTTACCCACCCTGAAACGAAGAAGTTGTAAGCGTCCATAGACTTGTAAGCTTTCATTTGCTGCCCAGTAATCCACGAGGTCTGTAGCACCAAATAGTTGACGATGTCAGGATATTCCACGCTAGGGTAATCCGCTAAATCCTCGCTACACTCCGATTTTTTTAACATGTATGGATCAAATCCACACGTAAGAACCTTTTCACGATATCTCGTCTTCGCTGGACCGGTAAGACCGTCGTAATATTCCGAAAAAGCCACACTAGCGCCCGAACACGCGTCCGCGGAAGCCATATTTGACTGAATGGATGTCCACCAGCATGGCGGACGCGAGTTACATAACAAAATTTGGTCACGTGGTTGAAAACGAAGAATTGAGTTAATGTGATAATCCCATGATAAGGACGACTCCAACCAAAGTCCCAGGTGTTTGTGGTGGTCCACTTCCGGTAGTAAGATGTTATTCAACGAATATTGACATCTTATTGGATCATTCTTCCGTGTAATGTGTAGGACTTCACACTTCTCGGTCTTAAGAGTAACAAGCCAACTCTTGCACCATTCAGAGGCAGATGTCAAATCCTCGTGAAGTAGATCGCAATCCGATCTATTTTCTATGTGTCGATGAAGGACAGTATCGTCAGCAAACAAATCTGAGTTGCAGGTTACTGAGTAATGAAGATCGTTGATGTATGCAAGGAACAGCAAAGGCCCAAGTATACTGCCTTGGGGCACACCAGATGTAACACTTAACCAGTCAGATGCTTGACCCTCAATCACTACACGCTGTTTCCTTGACGTGAGAAAATCCCTTAACCAATTTAAAATCTGGCCTTTGATACCATAGCATTCCAATTTGTAGAGGAGATGGGCATGGGAGACTTTATCGAAAGCTTTGGCAAAGTCCAAAAACACTGCATCAACTGATCCAAGTTTATCCAAGGCCTGAAACCACTCATGTACTAATTGAATATAATGGAATTAGTGTTTTGACATAGATAAATATATTTTTTTATTCGTCTTGTTTAATGTTACTATGTTTGCATGCGGAATGGTAGTGCATAGTAGCCTACTACAGTGTCTATATTTCATAGGTTAAGTAAAATCACTCTAAAGCTGTGTTATATTGTAAATTGATATAAAGCTATTTTTGGGAAATAAAGAAAGGTTAACCCTTTAAGTCCTAAGAGTGATTGTTACATGTAGAGATTGTACTAAAAACAGAACAACCGGAAGCGGAAACGAGTCTTGTGTATGACGTGCTCATCCGGGTTATCAAAAAAGAGAGCGCAAGCTGAACGAGTGACGAGAGAAAAAGAAACGGAATAAACATGTGAAGCATGTGAAGTGTAAAGATGTTTTACGGTTTATTTGTGGACTCATGAAACAAGGGTAACATTTTGGCGACCCTGCCAGGACGAACTTCGATTCTCAAGTCCGTCGGACGTTATTTGTTGTCAACGGAAGCAGAAATGGTCAGAATTGGAGCTAAGGAGATTGTGAGTGGAGCGGTATGAACACGTGGATTTGCAGTTGAGGAGACAAGCGGCGACCGAAAACAGTCAGATGCGTACGGTAGGACTTTACAATATTGCAATTGGGCTCTGTGACGGTGGAGTACATTCGCTAGTTGTTTTGTGTTTGGCGAAGTGGACGAGTTGATTTGTTCTGTCGGCTCACTGTTACCGGAATTACAGCGTTTGCGCTAGGTTACTTGTGTTCAGTTTGGAAATAAGCTTTCGCGGTTAGGATTAATTATGGAACAATTACAACTCCAAGTAGAGTCTCGATTGTTCGAACAAGATGAGAAGGGTTTGGCTGAAATGATAGAACTATTAAGAATCGAAGATGACCTTGCGGGTAAAAGTAAGATGCAGAGAATCAAAATTATTACGAAAACCATCGACAGCAAAATGGCGGGCGATGAAAAGGAAGCACGAACGTGCCTCGAACAGTTACTTGCTTTTGTGACCGGCAATGTACCGCCCCTCGAAGAGGTAGAGCAAAAACCAGCAGCTTCAGGGGTAAAAACGGAGAAACAATCTTCTGACGGAGGACCTAAACAAGAAAAGGGAGTGGGAGATATATTGAGCCAGTTAGCGAAAACAAAGTCGAGTTCATCTTTGCTACGTCGCGAATTTAAGATTTCCGGTCAGATCGGCGAACCAGGGCAAACAGAGAAACTAACTTTTGTTTCCTTAATGCACCAAATAGACTCAGGGCTAAAACGTGATTACCAAGAAAATGAAATTGTGGATGCAGTGATTCGTGCCATCTCACCACACAGTAGTCTTAGGAGCTATGTTGAGACTCTAAGTGACCTCTCACTAGCTAAGCTACGAAGGATCCTTCGTGTCCATTAGAGAGAGAAAACAGCCTCAGAAGTATATCAGCAATTGGCAACCGTATGCCAACAAAGTAGTGAATCCCCACAACAGTTTCTTCTCCGTGCGCTGGATTTGCTTAACAAGGTGAATTTTGCAAGTCAGGAGTCAGATTGTGAGTTTAATTATGGTGCATCCCTGATTCAGAAAACATTTGTAAAATCATTTGAAACTGGTCTTCGTGATGACATCCTTGCATCTAACTTAAGACCCACCTTACGCACCTCGGGACTCACCGGTGAAGAGCTCATGCGACAGGTGAATGAATTAGCCTCGCAACAAGCAGAAAGGAGTTCCAAGCTGGCTAGTGAACGCCAAAAGTCTGCCAAAGTTCATGCCTGTGAGGTAGGCAAAGATGAGAGAGAAGCAAGAGGTAAGAATGCAACTACAGACAAAGGTCAACGGCTTTTGCTAGAGATCCGTCAGATCAAGTCAGGGATAAATGATCTCAAGGATCAAGTCAATCGCCGAGGGAGCCAAGCAGAAAATTCTAATTGGCGTGGGCCATCCTACAGGGGCCGTGGGCATGGTTATCAGCCAAATCGTACAAGTTGGGGTCGTCAGAATTGCAAGCAGAGGGGAAAAGGAGATGAATGTAATCATTGCTTTGCTTGTGGTGACTCAGGGCATGTGGCTCGGGAATGTTACCGTAACCAGAACCGGGGTAGTCGACAGGGAAACGGTCGACGAATATTCCGGCGGGACGCGGAATAGTCGACAACAGTAGTAACAAGTCCCTCCGATGTATTGGTTGCCGGAAAGTTCAGTCAGAAAAGGCAAAGTTCTTACAATGTTCAAAGTGCAAGGCCGTGAAGTATTGTAGCCGGAATTGTCAGAAGAAAGACTGGCAGGAACACAAAGTGTTGTGTAATGCAATTGAGTACCTGTCAAACAAAGCAAAACAAGAGAATGCGGACCCCAGTAGTAGCACCTTTGTCAGTCACCTAACACCACAGCAGCAAGCCACAGTAGTAGGATTGGTAGGGAAGAGGTGTACTGTTAAGGGGGAGATCAATGGCCAAAAGGTAGATGTACTTTGGGACACTGGGGCCCAGGTGTCCTTAATATCTGGCCTTTTAGTAAGAAGGAATTTCCCTGGGATCACTATTAAGAACATATCAGAGTTGTTAAATTCTGAACTGTACCTGACCACAGCCAGGAGCTTAACTTTAGACTGTTGTCGTCTAAGGAGGAATTGGCAGTTCCCTTTCTTGTTACAGACCAATCATTAGACGCGCCAATAATCGGCTTTAATGTGATTGAGGAGATTGGTAAAACCAGTAGTGAGGATGCTATGCTACAGCAAGAAATTACTTCAAGTTTTACGGAGTTAAATGGCAAAAATGCTTCAACATTAGTGAATTTTATCCACAGCCGTAATCAAAGTGATCTCTGCTTGATCAAGACCATGAAGCTTGATACTATTATACCTCCCAGACAAAGTCAAACTGTGACTTGCAGAGCAAACACAGGGCCTGTAGAAAGAACTACTCCAGTACTGTTTGAACCGGATGAGTCTAACCCATGACCTAGCGGGTTGGAGATTACAGAGACTTTGTTGACTGTAAAGAAAGGGAAATCAAGTAAAGTGGAAATTGACATTGTTAACAATACCAACCATGATATCACACTTCCGGGACGAACTTTGCTCGGGCGACTACAACTTGTACAATCAGTTACACCGGTAGAAGTTAGGTTAAAGGACTCTAATGGGAACATGAAAACACCTGGGCCGAGTTGTTCAAAGCTGGGTTAAGATAACCCAGGGTTAGTGCGAGATTTGAATTCAGATTTGAAATCTTAAAAAGCTTTTCAGTTTTAATTCTTTTTGTCCACAAGTTGATGATTGGAAGCTCTAAAAATGAGAGAGAAAATTATTCGAGAAAATGCTTTTGAACACAAGAAAAAGAAACCAGGGTTAAATTTAACCCCGGGTTAAGCGTTAATCGGCCTTCGAACAACTGGGCCCTGATGAAGAGATTACAGAAGCAAAAGTTGATGATCAGGCTAAAACGTATACTGGAAACGCCGGAGGCCCACCGCTTATACCTCCACATGCTGAAGAACCTTTGAGTACTTCATCACACATAAAGGACATAGACCTAAGTGGTCTCAATGCCCATCACAAGGACGTGGCACTTAAATTACTTACCGAGGAAGCCGATTCATTTGCAAGGGATGACAGTGATGTGGGCTGTATTAGAGACCTTGAGTTAAACTTGGATCTTGAGGATCAAGCCCCTGTTCAGAAGAACTATGTGGCAGTGCCAAAACCACTATACCCAGAGGTAAAAGCTTATATTGAAGATTTGTTAAATCCTGATTTCATCCGAAAGTCCTCCTCGTCCTACAGTTCACCGGTTGTTTGTGTCAGAAAGAAGGACCAAAGTTTGCGGCTATGCGTGGATTACAGAGCACTGAACAAGAAAACGCGACCTGATCGCCATCCGATTCCGAGGATACAAGAGACTTTAGATAATCTCGGTGGGAACTCTTGGTTTTCAGTACTAGACCAGGGCAAAGCTTACCATCAGGGATTCATGAGAGCTAAAAGTCAGCCTTATACAGCATTTATCACTCCATGGGGTCTATACGAATGGGTACGGATCCCATTCGGACTCTCCCGAGCCCCAGGGGCTTTCCAACGGTTTATGGAGAACTGCCTAGGAGACTTACGAGATACTGTTTGTATACCCTATCTGGACGATATAATCATATTCAGTGCGTCCTTTGAGGAACATGTTGAACATACACGCAAAGTCCTGCGTCGGCTGCGAGAGCATGGAGTCAAACTCAAACCGCGGAAGTGTAAACTGTTCAAAAAAGAAGTTGTATTTCTTGGACGCGTGGTGTCTGAGGAGGGCTACAAGCTAGACCACTCCAGTATCAAGCCAGTGCTTTCTCTCAAGG